AATATATAATTGCAAAAATATGTGTTAAAAAACTCTTTTTCTAGAAGCATTAAATGGGACAATGCTTCGAACACTCACTAACTTATACTATTTCTTAAATACGAATACAATGCTTCTCTGTTTTGCAATTTTTAACAGTCCCAATGTTAATTAATTATCAAACAATAATTAATTAGTTAAGTCACACTTCCTTAGAAGTTGGGGGAAATCACTTACAATCACATTATTATAAGTAAAATTATCATAAATTAAAAACTTGTAACAGAATAATTAAGTAATTGCTTCTTAATTAACCTCTTAATATTCTGATTTTTTTTGGGATTATCTCTCTAAACCGTTCATGTGTACTACTTTTGTTTTCATTTTGTATATCAATTAAATTATTCACAATATGAAATAAAAATTTTATTTTCATTTTCCACATTAAAATATTAAATTTATTTACTAAAATGTATTAAAATTATAGTCACTGATTATATGATCGATTAAAGTTATCTCAATTTAATTCGTACTTTCGAATTTGAATTTTAAACACGCGTTGATGAAAATTAAAAAAAAAATTGTCTTAGTCTAATTACTTCCAAACAACGAGAATCCAACACCTGACAATGGTATTAAATTAAATTATGATATGGTTAATCATATATATTATTTATCATAATAACTCTAAATTAAGAGAATCGTGAAAAATGCTTATACAATGCACATCACACCAAATCAAATATAAAAACAGTAAATAAAAAAAATTAATAGTTATTTCAGTCTGAATGACATGCTTTAATTTATATATTAGCACTAAAAAGATATTTGTATTTCAAAATTAAAAAATAATATTTTTATTTTAAAATTAAAAACAACACAATCTTATATTTTTCTGAAAATCAACACCATTCCCTCTTTCTGTCATTAATTTATATGGTTTCAGTAAATGACTTTGCATAATAATCTTGTAATAAATGTTAGTAATTAAAGTTCATTACCTGTCTTTTTCGTGAGATATATTTATAAATATTATAATGAGTTTACCATTAAATCTGATTCATTAATCATCAGCAAATGGTTATTATTTTGGTCATTATCAACCAATGATTATTATTCTCATTAACTGTGACTATTATTGCTCAGAATAATTTTCAGACCGATCAGTCGTTTTCTCACAAGATGGTCAGTCGCTTGGTCCTTTGACTAACCGGGTGATCCTACCGTATATCTATATATTTAAATATTAAAAATATATTTTAAAATTAAATGATAATATAGTCTTATACTTGTTTAAAAGAAAATATTAATGCTTTGCTTTCAATTTTACGTGCTTTGTATATTTGAGAAATATAAGATTGTATTTTATATATATATATATATATATATATATATATATATATATATATAAGGTATAAATGAAAGTTAAATAACTGTATTTAAGATATTCTCTAAGGTCATGTCAAAAGATATACACAAATGTTCATGATAAATTATCATTAGAAATCGAGATATTGTGATTAAATTTTTTAAATTATTTAAAATCTTTTAAACACAACAAATAGTAGAAATACATATTGAATATGTCATTCTTTTATGANAACTGTGACTATTATTGCTCAGAATAATTTTCAGACCGATCAGTCGTTTTCTCACAAGATGGTCAGTCGCTTGGTCCTTTGACTAACCGGGTGATCCTACCGTATATCTATATATTTAAATATTAAAAATATATTTTAAAATTAAATGATAATATAGTCTTATACTTGTTTAAAAGAAAATATTAATGCTTTGCTTTCAATTTTACGTGCTTTGTATATTTGAGAAATATAAGATTGTATTTTATATATATATATATATATAATGTTACTGCAAGTCAAAACCAAAGCACTGATACATTTGAACACCGATAAACATACACCTGGAAATGAGATGACTGAGATGAAGGAAAAGGAGAAATAGAAATAAATAATAAAAAGAAAACGAATGTATGTTTATATTTTATTTTTTAAAATAAATTTATGCCCACTGATAACAAAAACTAGGGCAAAGCAGGTTGACGTGGTATGGGTTTAAGGGGTTTTAAGTTTATTGGGGACACCATTATGTATGGGATCTGGACCTGCAGGAACCGCCTTCAACTCCCTACTCAGTGGCTTTTCACCATACTTGATGTTTGATGATCCTTGCAAAACTTTTAGACCAGTTTTCTTATTCTTCAAAAAAGACAGCGCCTGCGTACGCAAATAAAGTTACAGAAATAAAGAACAACATATTCGCACTCCAGAAGATATATGTTCCAAAAACATCATTCTCATATGTTATGGTCGTATAAAATTAAGTGCCAAAAAGATAAAAACCCTTTGAAATGTGAACCACTTTTATATATGTTAAGTGTGACAGACCTTCCTGTTTGGAATGTCCCTGAGACCAGCTGCATTGATACCAAATCATTCGTACTCAGAACCACAACCTGCAATAGATTCAAACATGAATAAAACAGTCATTACTCCATGCATTTGTGTTGTCCCTGGCCTAAAACAAAAGTACAAGAAATAAAGAACATCGACAAACCAGAAGGATCCCTCGTAAGAACCAAACCCAGAAGCATAAGTAAAACGACAGTGGTAAAAATAACTTTGATGCCATTGAAGAGAAAAAAGTCTAAAAGAATGAAAGAAGGAGTGCAACTTTTACAGGGAGAGGAAGGTGTGTTGCGAGGAGGTGAAGATGAGAATGGTGTGGAATTATTTATAGTGGTATGATTCAAAGGTTAGAATGATGGTTCATGCAGCCATTTTAAAAAGAAATGAATTAATAGATAAAGTAACTCTAAAATTTAATAATTAGGACATTCCATATATACCACTGCTATCAATGTCAGTAAATGAAAAAATAAGATGATGATACCTTAATAACTAAAAGTTTTTAATAATAACATTTTATTGGTTCATTTTAAATATTTTCTTAAAAAATATTTTAAATGCACCAATGGAAAGCTGTCACTTAGACCATTGTCAAAATATTGTAATGGAAAGTTGTTAAAAAAAAGTTTTTCAAAAAAAGTAATAGTTATGTCAGATTGACATGCTTTGATATATGGATAATGATAATTTGACAACATTTTTTTGATAATATCTTAATACCATCTACGTGTTATTCTGCAATTGGTTCAAAATTACTCCACAATCAATAATAATAATCATAAACACCAACATAGACCAATCGCAGAATGATACGTAGATGGTGTTAAAATGTTGTCAAAAAAATATTGTCAAAGTATCATTATTCTTGATCTGTATATTAGCACTAAAAATGTAATCGTATTTCAAAATTAAACAATAATATTTCTATTTTAAAATTAAAAACAACACAATCTTATGTTTTTTCTGAAAACTCAACACCTTTTCTTCTTTATGTCATTAATATCTATCTATATATTTAAATATTAAAAATATATTTTAAAATTAAATGATAATATAATCTTATACTTGTTTAAAAGAAAGTTAATATTTCTCTGCTTTCAATTTTACATATTTTTTTTATTTGAGAAATATAAGATAGTATTATATATATATATAATCATGAGAAACAAGAAGAAAGAAATATAAGTTTTCTTTGACACAATATTAACCTCTCTTTTTTTGCAAAAAATATAAAAGTGTACTGTTATTTAATTTAAAAATAGAAATGTCATTTTATTAATAATCATATTACCATGAAATAGGAGGTGAAATATAATCAGAATTAGATTCACATAATTATTTTCCTAGAGAAACTTCTTATATGTGCTCTAGTGTACTTTATATCACTTAAATAATTAACATAACTTTCTTGATTTAAGATTATTATGTTAGATAATTAAATTAATCACATAATATATATCATTATATAAAAAATATTCTTCTTTTTTATATCTACATTTATTTCTTATTCTATTAATACTTTTTAATTTAATTAATTAGTTTACCATTTTACTTTTAAGTGAAAGTTATTTAAAAGTTAACTGTTTTTTATTTGACTATTTTTTTAAAAAATTATTTATTTTTATAAACTAAAATAACTATTTTTTATAGTTTTTTTAGAAAAAAAATAAAAATCCATTGTGATAAAACTATAAAATTTATTTATATTATTTTTATAATTATAATAATAATAATTTTATTATGATCATGAACACATGCAAGTTTTAGTAGTGTTTACATAAGGTGCATACAAAAAAGTCAGTTGATGAAGGCAGTGACTCTCCTATACACAATTTCCTTATATTATTTAATCATTAATGGAAAAGAACACAATATGACCAATTTAGATTTTATGTTGATTTGCTTGATTTGTATATTTAAATATAATGATTTATATTGATTTTGATGGTTTAAAACATATTAAAATTTTTTAAATATAACAAAATAAATATATTTTAAAAATATGAATAATCTTTTTTTTAAGAGAAACTGAATTCAATATATACACACTAATATTCTTTTTTATTCACTGTGTCTTCTTCCTCTTCAGACTACCAAGTAAATAAAATACATGTTCCACAAAAAAAAAAAACAAAGGAACTAAAAAGAGCCTAAATAATTAGGAGCAAGCGAAAATAATTGTGATTTATTCTGAAAATCATTATTTATATTAAGAATGATTAAAATATGTGTAATCGGTAAAACAATATTTCATAAAAGTTTTTACAAATCAACGTAATGTATGAAATAATTTCTACTAAAATTTTTAATTTGTCATCTAATACACAGTCATTGAAAAAATTAAGGAGATAAATATAGTTGGAAACATACTATTTTTATGAAATATTGAATAAAATCACAGTATGAAATATTGAATAAAATTACAGTAAAAAATATTGAATAAAATCACAGTATCTCCGCTAAGGTTAATACCGCCAATATGTAAGGGTTTGTGTGAGTAAAAATATTCCTAGTTTCCCCATAAGCACAAAACAGCTTTGTTGGATATAAATATGCAATATACAGGTTAAGTTACAATTGCAAAGCTTGAATAATCAGGAAGTATATAGTAATTTTGGTTAGTGGTTATACGCAGTATCAGATTAACAATGACATTTTTTTCCTTCTTCGTTCTGTTATTGCTGTCTCTTACTTTTTCAGGTTTGCTATCATTCACAACCTAGTCAACTTTTTTACTTAACAGATTGTATAATTACATGTATTGTTGTGGCTGTGGAGTTTTCTCTTTTCTGTATATTCTGATGATTTTTTATGATTGTGTTTTTCAGATTTGTTTGTGCAAATCCAAGGCTTTAATTTTGGAATCAACTACGGGCAATTGGGCGACAATCTTCCATCTCCCTCTGATGTGGCTGTTCTGATAAAATCTCTGAAAGTTTCTAAAATCAAGCTCTATGATTCTAATCCAGATATTCTATCTGCATTCGCCAATTCAGGTGTGGAATTCATAGTAGGAACGAAGAACGAGGATCTACCTAGTTTGAGAGATCCTTCTAATGCTCAGAGGTGGATTCAGCAGCATGTTCAACCTTATATTTCACAAACTAAAATCACTTGCATAGCTGTTGGAAACGAGGTTTTCGACTACAACAACCCTCAGCTCACAGCAAGTCTTCTTCCTGCAATGCAAAGTATGTATAATGCTCTGGTTAGTCTTGGACTTGCACGGAAGGTTACTGTTACTTCTGCTCATTCTTATAATGTTATAGCCTCTTCATTCCCTCCTTCATCTGGGGCGTTCAAGCAAGATCTAATACAGTATATTCAACCCATTCTTAGTTTTCATGCTCAGACCAAATCACCCTTTTTCATTAATGCTTATCCCTTTTTTGCATTCAAGGGAAACCCAAATCAGATTTCCTTAAACTATGTGTTGTTTCAGCCTAATTCAGGGTCTATTGATCCAGTTACCAATTTGCATTATGATAACATGTTGTTTGCTCAAATTGATGCTGTCTACGCTGCTATTAAAAAACTGGGCCATGCTGATATTGAAGTAAAGATTTCAGAGACTGGTTGGCCTTCTAAAGGTGGTCCTGATGAAATTGGTGCAACACCACAGAATGCAGAAATATATAATAGCAATCTGTTGAAGAAGATAGAACAGAAACAGGGCACTCCTGCAAGGCCTTCTGTTCCTGTTGATGTCTTTGTTTTTGCACTTTTCAATGAGAATTTGAAACCTGGTCCTTTATCTGAGAGAAACTTTGGTCTCTATTATCCTGATGGAAACCCAGTTTATAACATTGGATTAGAAGGTCATGTCCCAGAAACGACTGGGGAGTCCTACTCTAAATCTAACGTAAGTATACACAACAGAAATTCAGTCACTTTAACTGTTAAAAGTTTCTTCACTTTCTGATTTTGAAATTTTTTAAAGTGGATGTCCGTTCGTTAATTAATGTATCTAATGCTCTCTTTTCTATTGTCATGCAGGTGCTGTCCATCAATTTTGTCTGCATATTTGCATTTTTGTCGTTCACTTGGGAGCTTTCAAGGCACTGATAAGGAATATAACAAAACAAATAACTTTATAGAATTCATTCTTTTGTCATCATAATCTGTCTAATTGGAAGGTATAGGATAATTCAAATTCATCATCAAATTCTAAGGAGAATGAAACCACTTAGTTATGTGAAAAGTGGAGGGTTGATTTATGCAGAAGGGTGGTTTGAATATTTTGTTTATAATTGAATATTCATGAAACACTATAATTAATAAATATTCCTTTCTTTTCACTACTTGTTATTAGCTATTATAATATAAATATAGATATATGCAAAGAATATATGTTAAAAACACTTTTCTGGAAGCACTAATGGCATAATGCTTGAAACATTCACTAACTTATATTAGAAATAATACAGTGTTTCTCTGTTTTAGAATTTAAAAGTAACTTTTGGATTGGGAATCTTATGATTGGCAAGCACCAAAGAAGAAGATTTTGCAATTTTTAATTTGTCAAATGCAAAATTTTGCCATACTTGAGTTTTCTTGGTGAGTGTTGATTTTAACTATATTATTTGAAAGGTTCTTTAATAGAAGAATTCTTTATAGTACTGCTTTTTCCATTAAAAATTATTCTTAACTCTTTTGATCAATGCCTTCCAAATAGAGTAATGTTAGATTCTCTTTCAAATTCTCTTGCAAATCTTTCCACTACTTTACAAAGAAAGTGTTAAAGTATTAAAAATATATATAAAATATCGAACAAGTATAAAGTATTATATACAATAGTTAAATATGTTTTTTTTAAAGTTGTCTTTATTTCTTACACTTTCAAATTGATAAATTCAATTATCCAGTTTTTGAAAATATGTAATTTGATTTTTTTTACTTAAAAAAATATTTAGTGATAGTTTTATATCATCAACAAATTGATAGAAGGATTGATTCATATGATTATTGGATTTATTATTTCTTTATATTTAAATTTAACATTTATTTACAGCTTTTTACCGAGATAAAATTATTTTTAAAAGTTTAAGGATTGAATTTATTAATTTTAATATCATTGACAAGTTAACAAAAAAATATAAAAACATAAAAATATGCTTAACCCTAAGTAGAAGAATGGGATATTGTTAGTTATTTAGTAGTCATTTTTAAAATTATATGTCAATATTTTCTTAAAGTTAAGATTGCTACAGAAAATAATATGCTCTATATTTTCAGTTTTTCTTTTCATTTATTTGTGTTTGTAAAGTAAAATTTAAGACTATATATTAATTATTATTTTATCAATTATAATACTCCTTATATATTGCACTCAGTAAATTAAGATGATATTACAATAAAATTGAAAAAAAATAAAATAAAAAATTGAACAAAAAAAGTAAAAGTTAAAAAAATAAATAAACTAAAAAAATGTTGATAGTATCTCAAAAGAAAAAAAAATATTGGCACCTACATTAAAAAATTAAAGACTCCTTGATAGTTTGCAAGTTGACATTGATATAAATTTGTGAGAAGATAAAATGAACAAAGTCAAATATTCTCTTAAAGTTGACCAAGATGTTTGACATTTGCATCATAAAAAGAATTGCATATTCGTTTGATACTACACAACATTTTGAAAAGTTCTATAAGAAGATAAAATGAACAAGGTTAGATCAAGATGTTAGCTCCTATGAAGTGTTTTATGGAAAAAACAATAAAACGACAAGATATTTTTTTACCTAAATGTAGAGATTAGTTGCGAATTTGATTTGAAGAAGTTTTCCAAATAAGGAATCGACGATGAAAAGAGTAGCTTTCCAAAAAGAAGTGGCTAGAAATATATTTAAAATTTATCATCAAAATTAGAATTTTATAAAATAAATTTTGTGGAGAACTATAAAATGTATTTTTTTTCAATTTAACATTCCCATTTAATACTTGTTACAAAATATAAATAGACTTAAGATTCACATTCCTAACTACAACTTTACATTCATTTGCATACTGTAAAATATTAAATAATAAATATATAATAAATGAAAAGGAGAGCGTAAGATAATAATTTATCCTTCATTTTCGTCTCTTTTCTTTTTCTGTTTTTATGCCTTCACACAATCTTATTCCTTATTTCTTTTTCACTCAAACTCACAACACTCATTTCTCATTTGTTTTAGAAATCAATCACACCACTTTGTAATTGGAAAGCTAATGAACGTTTTGAACAGATTGGATTTTAGTGTAAGTTTTCATATATTCTATAAAATTCTTTATCTCTTAATTTCATGATGTTTCTGATTTTCTGTTTTATTTGGATAACTTTATCTAATTTAGTAACATTGTTTTTTAAATTGTGGAAGTTTAATTTAGAGGAAGAGACAATATCAAAGTAAGAGAAGTTAGTAAAAATTGATAAATACAACTTATTGAATTTTGGTAGTAATAATGGTGTGATATTAAACCTTATGGTGTAATGAATTGACTGAGCTAAGGTTATTTTGATCCCTTTCTTTGAATCTATATTGATGCATATGTTATGAGTGACGGTGAAAAGATGGTGCAATTGGTGAAATGATGAATTTATTTTAGTGAAGTGATACACTTTATTTGGTTTTTATTGTTTGAATAGCATAATCCAAGTAAATTGATTTATAATGTATAAGCATTGTCACTTGAACTTGTCTAGGTTTGTTTTGCATTAAATTGAACTTTGATGGCATGATTGTTAGGTTGTTTTGTTGAATTATTTTTCTTCTTTGTGTTGATTGGAATATTTGTAATGTAGCTCTTAAAGAAACATGATTGGGTAAAATAGAATTTTATGTTTGACATGTTTCAAATTGGTACATTGGTATATTCAAACTTTTTTTATATAAAAAAAGATACGAGTCTCTATATGGCATAAGAAAGTCTTAAAATAATTTGAATATACCAATGAACTAGTTTAAAACACACTAAAACACTTTTTACCTGTTACAAGGTCGAGCGATACCATGGAACTGCTAGGTACTCAAAAGTTAGTGGTTTCAGTGGTCCAAGGTGTCAGACACCACTCTAGGACCGTTGAGCTTCAAGTCAATGAGCTCCAAATATTATAGTGCTAGGTGCAAGTTTTGAGTATTGAGCGCCAACATGATTTATCACTAAGCTTTCTCGGCAAAATCACGATTCTTGCTTTGTTAACCGTTGAATCATACTAAAATTTTGATAGTTAGTTTTAGATTGGAAATATCCAAATATTATGCTAATGCAAAAGAAAATAGATAATGAATTATTAACATTTAAATTGAAATTAGTAATATGTGAATATGCTATGAGATTAGTATGAATTGAAGTAAAACATGTATGTAAGACATTGTTTGATGATTTAAGATTATAAGATAATTGTAATTGGTAAGTTATGGTGTGAATGTGGTTAATGTAGTGTCTTTCAAGAAGGAAATATTGTATTGATATGATGTTAGAAAGTATATTGTCAAATATTTTCGAAGACTATCTTAACTCTGTTAGTATCTTATTCATGTAAAAAAATATATATTTAGTTATGAGTATTGAAGGAGATTTCTACTTAGAACAAATCCTAAACATTATTGTTTTCCTAACTTATATAACTACAAATTTAGTAACGAAAATTTAAACATATTACTATTTTAATCCTTAATTAAATATTACTAAAAATTTATTTAGTTACTATTTCAATTATAAACTGATAGTCATCTTTTAATAATTATTCCAAATATAATATAGACTTATTTATTCCAGTTATAATATAGACTTATTTACTTCAATCATTAAAGACTTATTTATTGTAAGACATTATTTTTTATAATCACATATCAACGGTAAAAAAGTTTCATTTTAAAATGTGAAGACTTGTACATGTTAAACTTTGACCGATTTACCCGGGACCAATATTATCTGACACATGATTTTAGGTACTTAACAACAACATCAGATTAGCTTAATAATTACGAGGATTATTAAGTTCTTACAACGAGAAAAGAAAGGACTTTTAGTGATAACTCAAAACTAAGGTGTTGGAAAGACTCTGCCATATGTTGGGAGATTTCAGGGAAAGATCAGTCACAAAATAGGCTGAGTTTCTAGTGTTTTTACTTTTGAATTTCTAATCGATTTTCATGCTTAATTTATGGGAGTTATTAATTCATATACAAGTCAATCATCCTGTCTCTTTCAATCTTATATTTTACAAAAAGTTACTAAAATTTTCAAGAATATATGAAATGTTTAGTTTCATTTAATAATTTTATGAAATTATAAAAATTAAATAAAAAGATTTAAATATACTCTTCCAAACAGTATGGTTGAAATCCAGGCGAAAGTTATAGAAGAATGAATTTGTTTTGCATTGATGGCTGAAAAGTGGAAATATCAGAGAAAGGTGAAACCATCTCTCTGAAACGCGGGAAGCGGAGTGCCCAAAACCCAAACAATATTAACGCGGAAACACGTGCGGCGTCCGAAGGTGATGCTGACGTGTCAACGTGCTTTAGGAGAGACGGTGCTTAACACATGGACCATTTTATTTTTTAACAATCCCAATATCAATTAATTATCAAACGATAATTAATTAATAACTATTTAGTTAGTGACACTTGCGTTTTACAAATTATCTAATTATAATACTTGCATTTTATAAGTTAACATTAAAACAAACTTGTATTTTACAGTTATTGACAAAAAAAAAATCGAGTTTTCAAGTCATAATTAGGAAAAAGACTTGCATTTTACAAGTCTTTAAAAAACTTGCATTATACAAGTCATCATGAAAAAAAGTTTGCATTTTACAAGTTGTTACAGAGAAAAAGATATGTATTTTACAAATTATTATGAAGAAAAAAACTTGCATTTTACAAGTCATTATTGAGAAAAAAAAACTACATTTTATAAGTCATTATCCAAAAAACAAGTTTGTGTATTACATGTCATCATCAAGTAAAAGACTTGCATTTTACAAGTCATTATTGAGAAAAAAAAACTTACATTTTACAAGTATCATAGAAAAAAATTTACATTTTATAAGTCACCATTAAGAAAAAATTTGTATTTTACAAGTAAATATTGAAAAAACAAAGTTACATTTTATAAGTCATCATTAAAAAAAGTTACATGGAAAATCGCGCTAAATGCTTAAATAAGGCAGATCACATCAAATCAAATATAAAAATAATAAATGAAAAATAAAAATTATGTCAAGGTTTGATATATGTATTAGCATTAAAACTATATTTATATTTCAAAATTAAGCAATAAATTTTATATTTTAAAATAAAAAACAACACAATCTTATATTTTTTTTCTGAAAATCAACACCTTTCCTTCTTTACATGATTAATATATCTCTATATATTTAAATATTAAAAATCTAATTTAAAATTAATTGATAATGCACTCTTACATTTTTCCAAAAAAAAAGCTTTCAATTTTACATATTTTTTATTTGAGAAATATATGATTATATTATTGTTTAATTTAAGAATAAAAAATATATATGATCATGAAAGAAGAAACACGAAATATATTGAGCTTTCTTGCACAAAAGATAAATTTGTACTGTTATTTAATTTAAAAATAAAAATGTCATTTTATTATTAATAATCATATCCATGGAACAGGAGGTGACTTATAATAGTAATTAAGTTCACATATATAATATGTTTCGTAAGCTGTTTATTCAATGGTACATTTTAGTAATGTGTATCAGGTTTTAGTAGATAAAAATATCTTTATATAATATGAATTATAAGTTTTAAGATTAAATATATTTGAATAATTTTCATTCTTAAAATTAAAAAAAATAATAAAAAAACTCGCAGATCTTTACTCACCTCCCTCGTTCTTCTAAACCTTTTCTCTTTCATCCCTCTCACTCCAAGATTTTCTCTATCATTCATATAGTAACTTCAACGGAAAAAAATGAGAAACACTTGTGGTTAGACAATTTCTTACAAAAAATGATTTTATAATGAGTTTTCATTTTATAATTTTTGTCTTATCTCATTTTATCTAATTTTTACAAGCATAATGACATAGGAAGGAATTTGTAATTGATCTAAAAAAAATCAGAAATACTCGCTATTAAACAATTTCTTACAAAAAATGATTTAATAATGAATTTTCATTTTATAATTTTTGTCTTATCAAATTTCATCTAATTTTCACAAGCATAATGACATCAAAGGAATTGGTAATTGACCTGAAAAAAATAAAAAAACACTAGTTGGCGTGAAGGGTTTCTTTAGAGATGATGATTCAACATCTGCAGATTATGAAATTAGAGAGGTTAGTGAAGATGATGAAATTGAAGAGATCTTAAATGAACATTTGCTTGATGGCAAATATGTCAATGACTCAACTCTTTTACAAAGGCAAGTTGTTTAACAGCGAGTGTTTCTGATTTTTTCACTTGGAACTATAGTAGGGATGACAGAGAAAATGTTAGATTGAGAGAGATGAAAGATAAATGATTGAGAGAAATGAGTGAGGTGGGCAAGACTTAGGAAATTTCTTGTTTTTTTAGTTTTGAAAATAAAATTATTCAAATATCATTGACCTTAAAACTTAAAATTCATATTATAAAGAGTATTTTTTGTCTACTAAAACTTGATATACAACTAAAATACACCAACTGAAAAATAAGCAAATAGCAAACCCCTGATACGAATTAGATTTAATTTTATGTGCTTTATATAACTTAAATAATTAACATGATTTTCTTGATTTAATATTATGTTAGATAATCACATTAATCACATCATGTTATATAAAGCGCTTACAGAGAAGTCAGTTGATGAAAACAGTTGCTATCATGTACACAGGTTTAGTTATATTATTTAATCATTAATGAGATCTGACACGAGGATATAATACAAAATATCATGGAATTCAGATTTTTTGTTGATTCTTTTGGTTTGTATATTTAAGTACCATTATTTATATTGACATTGATGGTTTAAAATATATTGATTTTTTTTCTAAATATAACAAAATGAATATATTTTAAAAAGTATAAAGAAAAAAAATAGAAGAGAATCTGATTTCAATGTTCACACACACATTTTTTTTAAAGAAAAAAAAGGACTAAAAGTGAACTTAAATAATTAGACCCAGCCAAAACAATCCTGATTTATTCTGAAATTTATCATTTATATCAAGAAAAAATATGTGTAATTGATAAAACAATATTACAGAAAAGTTTTTAGAAATTAATGCATGAAAAATTTCTGCTAAATTTTTTAATTTTTCGTCTAAGAAGAATTTTTATTTAAAAAACATAATCTCATCTCCTCAAAATACTATTTGGAAAAATTTAGCTGAATCATAATTAAATTATGATTAGAAAATCATGATTATTTGTAAATATTATTTGTTAAGAGATATACCAAATAAGAGAAATATATGTTTTAATATTTATTAAGTGTACTAACAGGACCTTCCGGCATAAACCGAGCGCACAGCCATTCAGTAAATGGACGCCCGCCCAAGATGTCAATCAGGACGAGCGTCCAGCCACTTGAGATGGGACGTCCGCCCAAAATGTCAATCAGGATGAGCGTCCAGCCACTTGAGATGGGACGTCCCCCCAAAATGTCAATCAGGACGAGCGTCCAGCCACTTGAGATGGGACGTCCGCCCAAAATGTCAATCAGGACGAGCGTCCATCCGTTCAAGAGCTGGACGTCCGCCCAAAATGGGACGTCCGCCCAAGTTTACTTTCACTGAGCTGAACATCTTCCCAAGGATGGGACGTCCGTCCGAAATGGCGAGCGTCCACCCAATCAAGAGGGGACGTCCGCGCCCAAGGATTGGACGTCCGCTCAGGAGCTGGACGTCCGCCCGAGATGGTAAGCGTCCAGCACTTCATGAGTCGAACGACCGCCTAAGAGCGTCCGTCCAGTGTGACAAGTAGATCCAGGTGGACGCTCACCCAGGGTAACGTCCCTGGCCGAACGTCATTCTCAACCAACCGCACTTTGCTGATTACACGGTTAAATGCTAATGACACGTTAAAGTCCTTAATAAGGATTAAGGCATTGTTGGGCCGTTCCCAGGCCCCCAAAAGGTAAAAGCCCATTACGATCAGTATAAATAAAGGTCTCAGGTATGATTTCTGGACAGATTGCTTAGAACGCAACACATGCATGCATTATATAACGCTCTGTCATATTACTGACTTGAGCGTCGGAGTGCCTTTAGCAGGTACCCGGCCCCTCCCCAACTGGGAGTGTGGAGCAGCGCCAGTAGAGGAAGGACGCCCGTCCAACTTGGAGCGTGGAGCAGCGCCAGGAGAAGGAGGACGTCCGTTAGCAGCCTCTCACTCCGCATTAACAGAGAAAGCGTTCACCAGCCGGTACTGTTCGTGTTCGACCGTCTGTTCTTCAACAGCGTTCGTCTTGGAGTACGAGGACGTCCGTCCGGCTTGGATTGGGGAATAACGTTCGTCCATCACTGTACCGTTCGCCCGGTCTGCATCAGTTGGAGAGAGCCTCCTGGAGAAAAAACGTCCGCCAAATCCGTAGCAGCAGCGCTCGTTATTGTACCGTCCGCCCGGTCTGCATCAGCGGGAGACCAAGCGTTCGTCCGACAGCCTCTACCGTATGCCCGCCTGCACCGTTCGTGATCCTTCGTATGTTTTAACAGGGTCCGCCCTGATTCAGTCGAAACATTAAGTCTTTTATAAGAAGAAAAAATAACTTTTTTACTATAAGTTCCCTGAAAAAACAAAAATGAAAATGGGAAGAATGAGACAGTAGTAAAAAAAGTCAACTTGATAAACATAGATATTTTATATGTAGTTGGAAACATGCCAATTTTCACGAAATATTGAATAAAATCTCGTTACGTCGGCGGAGTTGCTAAGATTGTTGCTACCGATGGGTTTATGGGATTAAAGAAAACATAAAATATTGTCATAAAAAAAAATATTTGAGAGAGAAAAGCAAACTGCATTTCCTAGTTTCCACATAAAAACAGAACAGGTTTGTTGTGTATAAATATGCGGTAACTCTGCTAAGATGCAATTTGCAAAGCTTGAATCTTCAACCTGGAAGCTTAGTGGTCTTGATTAGCTGTTATACGCAGTATCAGATCAACAATGACAACTTCTTCCTTTTTCTTGGCTTTGCTCTTGCTGTCTCTTGCTTTTTCAGGTTTGTTATCACAGAGAGCAGAGTGAAAAGATTGTACAATCACATGAATTGTTTTGGAGTGGTCTAATTTCTGGTTTTCTTCACAATGGACCATTCTTAACTGTGATCAGAATATTATACCTTAATTTAGCTTTGGTATTTTGTCAATTGGGTTTGAGTATCTATTCTCCTACCTCTATATATTATAAGCTTTTTTGGTAATCTGAATTATTGTTTCTCCAGTGTTTCTCAATTTTCTCTACAGTCTGACTTTCTTAAAGGTTTCTTTTTATCTTCTATTGTTATCTCTTTCCTGTATATTCTAATGATTTTTATAACCATGTTCTTCAGATTTATTTGTGCAAATCCGGGGCTTTAATTTTGGAATCAACTACGGGCAAGTCGGGGACAATCTTCCATCTCCCTCTGATGTGGTCGTTCTGATAAAATCTTTGAAAGTTTCTAAAATCAAGCTCTATGATTCTAATCCAGATATTCTATCTGCATTCGCCAATTCAGGTGTGGAATTCATAGTAGGAACGAAGAACGAGGATCTTCCTAGTTTGAGAGATCCTTCTAATGCTCAGAAGTGGATTCAGCAGCATGTTCAACCTTATATTTCACAAACTAAAATCACTTGCATAGCTGTTGGAAACGAGGTGTTCGACTACAATAACCCTCAGCTCACAACAAGTCTTCTTCCTGCAATGCAAAGTATGTATAATGCTCTGGTTAGCCTTGGACTTGCACAGAAGGTTACTGTTACTTCTGCTCATTCTTATAATGTTATAGCCTCTTCATTCCCTCCTTCGTCTGGGGCGTTCAAGCAAGATCTGATACAGTATATTCAACCCATTCTTAACTTTCATGCTCAGATCAAATCACCCTTCCTTATTAATGCTTATCCCTTTTTTGCATATAAGGGAAACCCAAATCAGATTTCTTTGAACTATGTGTTGTTTCAGCCTAATTCAGGGTCTATTGATCCAGTTACCAATTTGCATTATGATAACATGTTGTTTGCTCAAATTGATGCTGTCTATGCTGCCATTAAGAGACTGGGCCATACTGATATTGAAGTAAAGATTTCAGAGACTGGTTGGCCTTCTAAAGGTGGCCCTGATGAATTTGGAGCCACACCACAGAATGCAGAAATATATAATAGCAATCTGTTGAAGAAGATAGAGCAGAAACAGGGCACTCCTGCAAGGCCATCTGTCCCTGTCGATGTTTTTGTTTTTGCACTTTTCAATGAGAATTTGAAAACTGGTCCTTTATCGGAGAGAAACTTTGGTCTCTATTATCCTGATGGAAACCCAGTTTATAACATTGGATTAGAAGGTTATCTCCCAGAAATGACTGGGGAGTTTGAGTCCAAATCTAACGTAAGTATACATTCAGTCACTTTAACTGTTAAAAGTTTCTTCACTTTTTGATTTTGAAACTTTCTAAAGGGGATGTCTGTGTCTATTTATGTATCTAATGCTTTCGTTGATATTGTTATGCAGGTGCTGTCCATCAATTTTGTCTGCATATTTGCATTTTTGTTGTTCACTTGGGAGCTTTCAAGACACTGATAAGGAATATAACAAAACAAATAACTTTGTAGAATTCATTCTTTTGTTAGAGGTGAGGAAAATTTTAATATTGTCCATATAATTTTTTATTCACAAGTGTTGATATCTATTTTCTCTTTACATTACAATTTCTGTAACTGTTGGAAACTGGTTACCGTAAATGATGAAACTAAAATTAGTTTGGTGTAGTTGTCTTTTTAATCCTTTGGTTGGAAGAAAAGTAATTCAGCTGGTGAAGCTCTAATGATTAATGTTTATATTATGATAGAAATTAGTAATGATGAGGGGCATAACGAGATGTGAAGTCTGGAAAAAAGAATTCAAAAGTGTATTTGATTCCATGAAGTTATTCTTTGACTTTTTGACAGTACTATGCTAAATAAGTAATCGAAGCAGAAGCACAGGGTGTAAAAGATTGTGGCTAAATGGTATCTCTTTATGCAGAAGCTGTCAAATGCTGTCCAATTAGTGCTAGTGCATGCACCATGTGGACTATGGTGACCCTGTAACGACCCCCAGAAAACCTTATTTTCTTCACCGTCTCCATTAAAAAAATGGTGATGGGTCTCCACCTTCCTTATCTGCCACTTGCAATCATGCATGTGAATCTTCTGGTGAATGAAATTCTCCTTGTCTTCAGCTATACAAAAGTCCAATTTCTGTTTTATCAAACGTGAAAGAAAGCCCTCAGGTTCCCTCTTGACAGATAACCCAACCCTGTGAATTTTGTCCTTGTTTCTCAACCTTATCTCATATGTGCCTTCTCTTTCCGCCATATAACCCTCTCTACCATCCTTTCTTTCAATGATTGACCTTAATTTTTATCTACTATCAAAGTAAAAAAACACTGTCCATAAATTAATTTCAGTTGCATAAATTCCTATCTCTTAATTAAATTTTGGTTGTGGAATTGTAATGTCTGTTATCAACAAGCGGCTGCTGTTGAACTGTTTGAGATATTCTTTTGTTCTATCTTTGTCAGTGAGTTATATACCTTGTGCTCATAGAATTTGTTTAGCTGAGAATTCCTTTGTGTGAACTGTTCCAAAGTCAAATGAGGTGTTCTGTTACATTACATGGTATGTTGCGTATGTTTTCCAACCGTATCTCACTACAGCAACAAGAATATATAATGCGTCAAAAAATAATTTTAAATTTAACTTAATTTCACAAAATTGATTTATAAGATAAGATTTGCATTTGATTATTGTTGAATCTAACAGGAAAGAGATTCACCAGAACACAAACACAAATAAAATATGAGTCCGATCATATAAAAGATTAACACTACTCTCTACCAAAAATCTTAACATAATGGGTTAATGGATCTTTTATTTTTATATACTCCTCTTTTTTCTCATTTTTATCCGACGCGTAGGAGTTAAATATATGATTTTAGATATTATTAAAAATATCTTTTTTCTATTTGCAACTGTAATGGTGCCTCTTTGTTGGACTAGAATGAAATTATGTTGAAAATTCAACAATAAAGTCATAAAAATTGGTCTGGAGGCGGCTGTTGGTGATGGCCCAGTGCTGAAATAGGGTTCTTACATCAGCATGGTTCAATTGGGATGAGTTTCACAGAGCCAATTTGGATAGGAAATTGATGGAATTAGAAACAAAATTTAATACAACTTCAGACAGCTTGGGACATTTAATAAGAAACATAACGATAATGTGTGCGACATTTAATAGGTATATCCATCAGCCTGTGCTATAAAAATCTGATAAAAAACTCTACACTATTGTTTCATGAAAAACATGAAAAAACTAAAAAACACTACTGTCTTTTATGGGGAATGGTTGATTCGTATTGTTGAATTAATATTTGTACATGTTTTTTGCAGGGGACAGATTCAAGGCAAACCCTAACTTTTTTGTACACAGCAATGGGACCAATTATACCTTTTTCTAATTTTTTTTAGCTTAATCCATTCATATGTTTTTTTTTCTTTTACAGTAAGCAACAGTCAAAGGTATAGGCCAGAATTAGATTCATGGAATACAGTGATTTTTTTGACAGAAAGTTGATACAGAATAAAATATCTTGGTTTTTTGACGGAATAAAGTAATCTTTTAGATGCACGTTATGAATTTATTCTGTTTATTAGTTGGCAAATTTAGCAACGTTGATTTACTAATATAACCGTTTATTGCAGTTTTCTTTTATAGTTTTAAACTTATTTAATAACGACAAAGCTGAAAATTAGACGTGTAAGAAACCAGAAAGAGAACGTACGAAGAAAAGATTTATAAGAAAAACGCGGAATCGCTTATTTATTTTCTATTGTCTTCTTAGCTGCAGACATAACAAATAAAATATATTTTGATTCGAGGAAAAATTATATTTTGTATTTGTCAAATTACACGTGAAGTGTAACCAATGGAATTCGTGTAATCTCGTTTATAAAAAGTTCTGTAATTTTTATACTTTTTGATTTAAGATATAACAATATTATATGTTTAAATAACATAAAAAAAAGTGAATACAACTTTACTAAAAAGAATTGAATTTATTTATTAAAGATATAAAATATTATAAAAAGATTAAATTTATTTATTAAAGTTATAAAATAGTATAAGCTCTATTTTCGTTGAAAATATAAAATAAATAATGTTTATTTTAAATTTATAACACATTTTAGATAATGAAATAAAGGTAACATTTTTATTATTGTAAATTAAAATTTTCAATTCTAGTATTTGGAAAGATGTTTATTATTCTTAAATTGTGATAGTAACCCATAAAAATTATTGGTAAATTATATTTTTTTTTATCTTTTATCATTTATAATTTGTTTCTAGATTTTACAATTTCTTTATTAGTTTTAATTTCCTATATTCTGTTTGTTATTATTTTAAGTCGTTCCCATTAAGTACTACCAGAAAATAAAAATATAAAAATAGGGTCATATTTTTTTTCTTCTTTATTAATACATTAGATGATTTACTATAAACAACTTAAAAGAGTTAGTTTAAATTTGTTTTGCACGCTTTGCTTTTGATGAAATTCTTTACTTCGAAGCATTAATTGAATGGTGGGCCTCCCANTGTACTAACAGGACCTTCCGGCATAAACCGAGCGCACAGCCATTCAGTAAATGGACGCCCGCCCAAGATGTCAATCAGGACGAGCGTCCAGCCACTTGAGATGGGACGTCCGCCCAAAATGTCAATCAGGATGAGCGTCCAGCCACTTGAGATGGGACGTCCCCCCAAAATGTCAATCAGGACGAGCGTCCAGCCACTTGAGATGGGACGTCCGCCCAAAATGTCAATCAGGACGAGCGTCCATCCGTTCAAGAGCTGGACGTCCGCCCAAAATGGGACGTCCGCCCAAGTTTACTATCACTGAGCTAAACATCTTCCCAAGGATGGGACGTCCGTCCGAAATGGCGAGCGTCCAACCAATCAAGAGGGGACGTCCGCGCCCAAGGATTGGACGTCAGCTCAGGAGCTGGACGTCCGCCCGAGATGGTAAGCGTCCAGCACTTCATGAGTCGAACGACCGCCTAAGAGCGTCCGTCCAGTGTGACAAGTAGATCCAGGTGGACGCTCACCCAGGGTAACGTCCCTGGCCGAACGTCATTCTCAACCAACCGCACTTTGCTGATTACACGGTTAAATGCTAATGACACGTTAAAGTCCTTAATAAGGATTAAGGCATTATTGGGCCGTTCCCAGGCCCCCAAAAGGTAAAAGCCCATTACGATCAGTATAAATAAAGGTCTCAGGTATGATTTCTGGACAGATTGCTTAGAACGCAACACATGCATGCATTATATAACGCTCTGTCATATTACTGACTTGAGCGTCGGAGTGCCTTTAGCAGGTACCCGGCCCCTCCCCAACTGGGAGTGTGGAGCAGCGCCAGTAGAGGAAGGACGCCCGTCCAACTTGGAGCGTGGAGCAGCGCCAGGAGAAGGAGGACGTCCGTTAGCAGCCTCTCACTCCGCATTAACAGAGAAAGCGTTCACCAGCCGGTACTGTTCGTGTTCGACCGTCTGTTCTTCAACAGCGTTCGTCTTGGAGTACGAGGACGTCCGTCCGGCTTGGATTGGGGAATAACG